CAAATCCCATCAAGTTTGTTATGTCAAAACCTGTCCTTAGTGACCGACTAGCAAGATGGTACCTCCAATTCCAACAATTTGAGATTGTGTACATCCCTCAAAAATCCGTGAAGGGACAAGCACTAGCGGATTTCTTAGCAGACCATCCTATACCAAATGATTGGGAGTTAACTGATGAGTTTCCTGATGAAGATGCAATGTTAATTGAAGTTCAACCTCCTTGGAAAATGTACTTTGACGGGGCTGCACATCGCGGCGGAGCTGGTGCTGGTGTGGTGTTCATCACTTCACAAGAAGAGATTCTACCATTCTCTTTTACTCTAAAACAATGTTGCTCCAATAATGTCGCTGAATATCAAGCACTGATACTTGGACTTGAAATGGCCGTTGACATGAAACAATTACATTTAGAGGTCTTTGGTGACTCTCAATTGGTGATTAATCAACTCTTAGGAAGTTATGAGGTAAAAAAGCCTGAATTGCGACCTTATCATGATTATGCTCAAAAGTTGATAAGATGGCTTCGAGATGTAACCCTTCAACATGTGCGTCGAACAGAGAATAAGAAAGCTGATGCATTGGCTACTTTAGCTTCAACGCTAACCCTTCCTGATCAAACGCAAGTAACTGTCTGTCAAAAATGGATAGTACCACCGTCAAATGAGGAAGAATATATCGAAAATAAGCTTGATCATATCGTCGCCATTGTTGAAGCTGCGAAGGAAGATTGGAGACAACCCATCATTGACTACCTATGTTATGGGATACTTCCAGAAAATCCAAGAAGAAGAACTAATATACGTCGTCGTGCACCTCGTTTCCTTTACTACAAGGATACATCATATAGAAGATCATTTGAGGGTATGTTATTACGATGTTTGGGAGAGGAAGAAGCGATTCAAGCTCTGCAAGAAGCATACTTAGGAGTATGTGGATCACATCAATCTGGACCAAAACTTCATTTTCACATAAAGAGGATGGGGTATTACTGGCCAACCATGGTGAAAGATTGCTTATATTATGCTAGAAAATGTGATGCTTGTCAATTTCATGCGAATTTCATTCATCAGCCACCCGAAGTATTGCACCCAACCATCGCATCTTGGCCATTTGACGCTTGGGGACTGGATATTGTAGGACTATTACCAAAGTCTTCAAAGAGAATGTTGCAAATTTTATCCGAGTAAATATTATGTATCGCTTTGGCATCCCTCGATATATAATAACAGACAATGGCAAACCATTTGATAACAAGCTAATGAACAAGATTTGTGATCTTTTTGACTTTAAGCAGCATAAATCTTCTATGTACCATGCTGCTGCTAATGGTCTTGCTGAAGCATTCAATAAGACTCTATGCAACCTGCTCAAGAAAGTTGTCTCCAAATCCAAACGGGATTGGCATGAAAGAATGGAAGAAGCTTTGTGGGCATATAGGACAACATATCGCACACCAACTCAAGCAACACCATATTCACTTGCTTTAAGAGTTGAAGCAGTCCTGCCACTCGAGCATCAAATACCCTCCTTAAGACTTGCTATTCAATAAGGTCTCACTGAGAAAGAAAATGCTCGATTGCGTCTTGCTGAGTTAGAAACACTTGATGGAAAAGAGGTTAGAAGCCCAACAAAACCTTGAATGTTATCAAGCTCGTCTATCTCGTGCTTTTAATAAGAAGGTTCGCTTGAGGTGCTTTCAAGTTGGAGATCAACTTCACGCGGTAAGAAGACCAATCGTTACTTCGCACAAGTCTGGGGGCAAATTTACCTCAAAGTGGGATGGACCATATGTCGTACAAGAAGCATATTCAAATGGTGCTTACAAGCTTGTTGATGCTGATGGCTTAAGGATCAGTCCTATTAATGCCAAATTTCTAAAGAGACACTATCCTTGAAGGAAGATGATGCTCCTTAAGGTACGAGCCTAAACTGCATGTCACTCCTGGCCCGCAAGAGTATAAACTGTGTATGGCACAACTAAAAAAAAGAATAATCACTCAAATCCCCAGAACTACGTTGTGACTTGATCCTCTTTATTGAGGTACATAGGCGCTTAGAACCATATTCTAAGTTCAGTTGCATGAGTGTCAAAAAAAATGTTCGCACTTGATCTATTGCATGAAAGTCAAAGCGATATATATTTTATTTTTATCTTTTGTCTCATCAAACTTAAGACTTGCACGAAGTATTGATGGGTCTATGAAAGGGGCAAACCCTTACAAAATATGAATCTCTTATTAGTATGGTGGAAGTCTTTAAATTAGATCAAGTATGAAAATTGGAGTCTTTATATTCTTCGAGTTTATTATTTGAAGTATCCAAATTCTCTAAGTATACAGGTTGAAGTATTCAAATACTCTAAGTATGAAGGTAAGACTTCAAGTATATAAGTAGAAGTCTCCAAATGCGTATGTAATTGAATTCCATGCCTAAAGGTGCATGAGATTTGTCCCTTTGCACCTTAAGCTAGATTTGTTGCGGATTATCCCTCAATAGATCATTGAATTTCTATGTTTCAGGGTGGACAAACTTGTCCCGTTGCACGCTAAGTTGACTTTTTCACTGGTGTATATTTAAAAGGATCTTTAAATTTTTCATGCCTTAAGGTGGACAAACTTGTCCCTTTGCACCTTAAGTTGAGTTTTTCACTAGTGTATATTTAAAAGGATCTTTAAATTTTTTATGCCTTAAGGTGGACGATATTTGTCCGTTTGCACCTTAATCTAGCTTTGTTGCGAGCTTATCCTTCAACGAATCTTTAAATTTCTATACCTTAAGGTGGACAAACTTGTCCCTTTGCACCTTAAGATAGAGTTTCGACGGATTTATCTTTAAAAGGATCTTTAAATTTCCATGTCTTAAGGTGGACAATATTTGTCCTTTTGCACCTTAAACTGGTCTTTTCACGGGTTTATCCTGTCTCAAGTTGGTCAAACA